GACAATCTTTTCCCTCCTGCGTCCTGCCTAATAGTCCTTTGGGACACTGTCTGCACCGTTGGCCAGTCATAGCTGTAGCAAATGAACCGCCCAAACTTTGACCTCATTCTTGAAAACTTCTCATATTGTCTTGCGTTGTAAATGTCTGATGTAGACGAGTACATGCCTAAAGTAAGCCTTTGTAAGGTGCTGAATGGGCCATCTTTATTTTTGCAGAGAGTTATGCCTTCCAGCTTTTTTGTGCTGCTGAGGTTCTTCTTGCGGGTGGATGGGGTGCTCATCAGGATGAATGATACAAGGCTTCATCACGAGGTAAACCCTTACTTTCTGTGACAAATTACTTTACAGAGGTTCCCTTGCCATTTTACTTCCAGTGACCCAGTGATATTCCTCTAATGTAATACTGATGTTTGGGAGCACAAAAACTTCTGAGTGTATTTTATTATTGTGGTAGTGCTGAGCTAGCAACCGAGTGCTGGATGCCGTGTGTATGAGCAGAGTAGGCTGCTCCTCATGTGATGTAATCATTTAAATACATTCAACAGACACAGATTAGAGAAGGAAGTACAAGAGGAAAAATAGGCAGCAGTAAAGGGTTCAATACTGTCGTGTCTCCAAGTACATTATTTTTGTCTTACCTAATAGAGTTAGACTGCAAGTGTAACTTGCAAATAACTGTCCATAGTACATTGAGTTCTTGTGTCTCACAAATAATACAAGATGTTAAGATTTGGGGTTTGGTATTTCTGTGCAGATGTGTAGGAGTTCTAGCTGAGTAAAAATTAACAAGCATATTCGGTCATAGAATTTTTTCTGAAACATGTGGTTTCTGGAAAAAAACAACATTGTTGTCATCTGTCTTTATGAATTTGAATGTACATTTGTTCTCCTTGGTGAAAATTTGTGGTCAACCAAATTCCAATGCTTCCTAAATTAAATGTATTTAAAATGCTTGTTTTACTGATACCAGATGATTGTTTTTTTCCATTAGGCTGACAAGACCTACATGTTGCGAGAATACACATCCAGGGAAAGCAAAATATCAAGTCTAAAGGTATTGCATTTTTAAAACTTTGGTTCTTTTCCTTCTGTCTGCTTAGTTTTATGGTCAGCGTAGAAAATACTGTCTCTAAGTCCTTCTGTGTTTGGTTTGGAATTAATACAGAAGAAAGTTCTTTCTGCTTTTGCAGCTTTTGTTTTGGTGATTTTAGAGCAGATTTACATTTTGTAAATGCTCAGATCACATGACAGGGTATGGGATTAGGACACTTTTTCTATATTGAGATAATAAAATGTTTTTATTTTGTTTTTTCATAGAACTGTTTAGCTGCAAAATCAGGTACTCCATGTCCCATGATGTTAAATTTCATAGCTGATTGTGTGCTTCCAAGCCGTGTTAGGGGTTAAGATCTGTTTGGTAATAGACTTTTTCATTTTTTTCTTAAATATTTGAGGCTAAACTCTGGTAGTGGCTCAGAATAATTTATGGTACATTTGGAGTTGCAGCTGTGGTTGTTATTCGTGACAAACGCGTGAACTTTCATTTTCTTGTACCTTTCCTCCTCCCTTACTTTTCCTTTGCCTCTAAAAAGTTTGCCTTTAGTGGTGTTTACATCCAGTAAGTTATAAATTGTCTGTAATAGTTTGGGTTTGGATACTTTTTCTTATCCCCTCTTTTCTTTCACTCATTGAATGTAAAATTTTTGCTTTTTAGAACGTTCCACCTTCCCTGTTCACGGAACCTAATGAGATCTCTCAGTATCTACCCATAAAGGAGACAATCTGTGAAAAACTAGAATTCCCAGAGAAGCTGGAGCCTAAACCAGAAACATCACTGGAAACCACATGTGCTAAGTCTAAATAAATGTGATTTTATAAGGACTTGAAGTATAGTGGAGATTATGTGATCGCAGTTGTTGATATGGGGGGTGTTTCACTACTGGTGGAATGAAGAATTTGGCTAATTTTTGTGTAGCCTTTAGAGGAAACATTTCAAGAAGGTTTTGCTAATGGTGTTTTTTGTTTGGATTTTTTTTAATCTGTGTTTGGAGTTGATGATAGACTGATGGTGAGTTACAGTTTTCAACAGCATTGGAGAAACGACTATTGGGAATCTGGGTTCTGTTTAGTTCACCAAGCAGGCAGGAGTATTGTCTGGACCCTCATCCACTAACAATTCTATGAAGATTTTGTCGTTGCTGCTTCAGATACTATGAAACTACCTGAGTTGTAAAACTGGCATGATTTTATTTTTATTGAGAAATAATCCACAGTTAAAAAAAAAAAAAAAATTCCTCTGCATTTATTTTGATCTGTCCATCCTTAACTACCCATTTTGCTTGGCTTCCCCTACTGGTAACCAACAAATTTACTTCTTGTAGTTTCTGATCCAGAGTCTCACCTAAGAACATTAATTTCATCTGAGATAGGTTTAAGTGCAGGGAAAAAAAGTATATTTGTTTGACACTATATAAAGGTAAAAATTATTTGTGAAGCATTAACGCCAGAGCAGGAGGAGAGCTGGAGGTTAACAGAGAGACAGTGCTAAGTCCCTTCACAAATGCTGGTTTAATGTGATGTCAGCTGGAGTTCTGTGGGCAGTTTTGGGACTCTCACTTGAGGTCCCTGTGCTGCTCTGGGAATGTGCGATGCTGGAAAGGTATTGCCCTGCACTGGCCTTCTCTTGTATGTGCCCACATGGGCCAGTTCTGCCCTGACAGCCAAGCTGCAAAACTGCAGTGAGCCTTAAGGCTGGGCAAGTCTGATCCCTAAAGGGTGCTGGTATTTGCAGTTTGAGAAATGAGATCCTGTGTGGTCTTAGAAGGATGCTAACATGTTTTCCAGATACATAATTTTGTTTTATTTTAAAATTCTAATAAGTTCTAGTATTGATAGAAGTGTGATCACTTGTATAGTCATGGTTTCAACACTCTGTAGATGAAACTGAGTACTTGTATTGCTTTTGGAAATTCTGCAATGTGTTACTGGTTTGGCTTAAGAATGGGGCAGGCAAGCAGGCTTGCCTGGGTTTGCTGCTGACACTCAGTGCAGAAAGCAAGTAACTGCAGTGAAAAGCAGGCCCTGTGGTGCAAGGTGCTTGCAGATAAGAACATGGACATTCTGATGTCTTGGGGTTTTTGTTTAAAAATCTTCGTATTCTACACCACATGGCTTACTAGAAGCAACCCACCACAAAACCTAGTATTTAATCATATATTTTGTGAGGTGGTTTTCATGTAGATAAGACCTTGAGGTTTTTATTGGGGCAAAAAAGTGTAGTGCCACGTAAGTGACTGTTTCCTTATTAAAAACAACACACTGATTTCACTTTTATTTGAGACAGCCTGGTCTAGTGAATTCTACAGCAGGTGGAAAGGCAGGAATTAACAGCAGTTTTTCCTGTGTCATTGATTTACTCTAACCATGGGGAGGACATTTTTCTGTGCTTCCATTCCCTGTATGTAAAAATGAGAGTTAATATATGCCTACCTCACAGAGAGACTGTGAGGATTAGTTTGTACAAAGTTATTGATTAGAATATTTTTTTCTGAATACACCTTCAGCCTTATCTTTGGAATTCTTTGGAAACGCTTACTGCAAAAAAATTATGTATAAGTGAAGAGAACTGAAACAGTTTCTGAAAGAAGTTGTCAGCTGTGATAATTACCAGATAATTATCAGACATGATCTGGGTGAATTAATTTATGACCACTTTGAAATAGAAGCAAGGTCCTCTATGTTCCCCATTACAGTCCTAAGTTCTGTTGGCTTTTTTTCATCTTCCTGCCCTTGTTTCTTAAACATTTCAGTGTCAGGATGAAGAAAGGGACTATAAATTAATGCAGCACCAAAGAGATTAAAATCCATTTAGTAATAGAAGATTATTTGGGTCCACTCCATTAACAGAGCGAAGTGAGGAAAGAGTGAAAATGAAGGGAATGACAAATGGGGGTGAAGAGTTATTTTTCTGGTAGAAGTAAATCACGGCACTTACTCTAAGCATTTATTAGTATACATGCCTTAGAGCTTATAAAAGCACTCTTACAGCTGGGAGCAGAGCTCATGTAGTGCTGGCATGAAGGAAACTATATCTGCATTTGTTAATTCAAATTGTGATTTGAGCTTGGTCAGTGATGCTAACATTAAACTCATTTGGTCTGAAATAGAGTGTGGGGCAAAGCCACAGAGTGGGGAGGGAGCACTGGAAAGGGCACTCTGCATGTTTAGCTTATACTGTGTGTTTTCTCTTGTTCGTCATACATCCTAATTTGTGACCCGTTGGTAAAGTGTCATGGAATTGACTTGTATCCTGTCTATAGATGCGTGCTCTCCATCTATTCTAAAGAGTGCTTTGCATTTCAGTGAGACACGCGTTTGGGAAATCACAAGAACACCTTTAGGAAGTTACAGTTACAAGTTCAAAATTAGAGCACTTTGTGACTCTCTTACACCAGGCAGATTATCAAGAAGCAGTGGTATAAACTGGCGTACAGCAAGTGCTCTGACACAAATTTTCCACAGAGAAGTAACACTTTGAATAAATAACTTTGCGGGGGGGAGGGAGTGGGGTGATTCTCCAGCTGTTTTGTGTCGAGTTTTTTGTGGCAGTTTATATTGTTCCTTGTATGTTGCTAAATAAAATGTACCAAACCTTTTACAATTCTGTTTTTAACTGAGCAAAATAAACTGAAATAACTACTTGTGATGCTGAATTTTGGCTGCTAGTAGGACTTTGCATCCGCATACTTTTGTCTGGCAGGACACTGCTAGGCTCGTTACGAAAATAAAGTAGCAGGCGTGGGATTAAAATGAAACCTCACTGACTATAAAATGAGTTTTGCTACTGCCAAGCGATGGATTGGAAAGTGCTGGGAGGAGAAAGGATCCATCACATCTGGACTACATTCCCCGGCAGCCTTCGCGCCGCCCCGCCGGCCTTCCCCTACCTGCGGCGTGCAGGTGGGCGCGGTGGCTGCCGGGGCTGGTAGTCCCTGGAGAGGGAAGGGCAGGGCAGGGCAGGGCATTCCGGCCGGGCGGAGTGCGGAGCCATGGACAAGCTGAAGCGGGTGCTGAGCGGCCGCGACGCCGAGGAGCCGAGCGGCCTGGCCGAGGTAGCGCTGCGGCTGCCGCCCCGCTGCCGGCGGGGGAGCCGGCGCCGCCCGTCCCCGCTGTGCTCGGCGCGGCGGCGGAGCAGCCATGAGGAGCTGCCGGCGGCACCGGCCAGCGCTGCCCCCGCGGGTCCCGGTGCCGCGGCCTTCCCGCGGGACACTCGGGACAGTGCCTGAGCAGGACGCGGCGCCGCAGCGCCTGAGGAAGTTCTCGCGCTCGGCAGAAGGCAAGAGCTAAAAGTAAAGAAGTTTCGCTTTTGTTTTTCTCCTCGTTTCCAGGTTATCGATGCGACTTCCTTAGGCTGGGGCACCCGAGTGAAAGGTTTCATTGCCTGTTTTGCGATCGGATGCCTGTGCTCGATCTTGGTAAGGACTTTTTGCCAGATCTCCCCCGTATCTGAGTTTCAGGAGCCCAGCTAATGCCAGCCTCCCTCCGTGCTGCTGCTTGATTTTCCCGAGTCTCTGTGTAGACCCTTGACTCGGTTCCAGTTAGATGCAATACCCTGACTCTTAACAAGAATGCCAATAAACGAGATTTACTTTCGTATGCATAATTCTGCAGTTTGGCTCGAAGTTTTCTTAAGATTTCTTTCGTGATGTGACACTTCTTGGATATATATGTTTGTTTCAATTTAAAACCTGTTCATTTCCCCCTCCCCCTTTCTCTAAATGTTCCTTTTTAGGGTAGTTGTCTGCTATGGATACCAAAGAAAGGGCTGGTTCTCTTTGCAGTGTTTTATACCCTGGGGAATATTGCATCCATTGGGAGGTAACAATCTTTATATATAATTTCCCTAATACAGATGAGAAACAAAAACACAATGATAGTGCATGAGTGGTAGAAGTTGTTGCATTTGCAAGAGAAAATTTGCCTTTGTAGATAATTTTCTCATTGAATTCTACAGAACAGCATTTCCCCAGTAGTGCCCTGAAATGGTGAAGAAAATTTTAATTTTGTTTGTTGTTATTAGTAATGCATTCAAGGTAAAAGTTGCTCATCAGTGAACAGGAATCATACTCATGCTGTAAGCATTGAGGTTTTTTGATTGTGTTGGTTCCTCCTCCCCTAGATAAAAATAATTCTTTGCCATTTTGCATTTGGCAGTGTTCTGTGTGTTTTGGTGAATATGTTTGGGGCAGTCCATCTGTCAGGGCAAGCATATGTAGTAAGACTTCCTGGCCTTCGAGGTTCCTGAAGCAAAGCCCTCCATACTCTGTGACAGGCCCAGTTTTCTGTGATTGTGGAAGCTTACTGTGATGCAGGAAAGCATAAATAATGGATTTGGAAGTAATATGCTAATGAGGCAGAATAATATAGTATATGAGGCAGAAATATCACTTCAGATAAAACTTTCACCTTGTGTAATTCATCCAATATCTATCACCAGGGTCCTAAATGAGGCTGCAGATCTGGTAAGGGATCAGAGAACAGATGCAGGCATGAAAACAGCCTTTTATGTAGAGGAATTGAGTTGGATTACGTGGCAGTCCATGCAGAGCCTCTGTGGATGGTGTTCTTGAAAAGATTTAAAAAGCATTTTTTGAAAAGCAGGTTAGAAAAGCATCTGTCAAGGATGATCTGATTGGAGCTGACCTTGGCCTGTGCTTCTAACCTGATAGTTCTGCTCTGCTTCTGTTAATTTTAATGGAACAAGTGTGAATAAAATTGTAAATACCTTGCACACAGAAAAGGGGGAATGGATTTTGTCTCGTTGTATAATCCCATTTCTTTTGTTTTGCTGCACTGATTGCCATAACAACACAGTGTACTGGTGCCCCTATGGCAGCAGACAGTTTAATCTTACCGAGTTTCACTTTTGCCTTTCTCATTTCTGTGTTCATCTCGACTTGTTTTTCACAGCACCATGTTTCTTATGGGACCAATGAAACAGTTGAAGCGGATGTTTGAGCCTACACGTTTGATTGCTACTATTGTTATGCTAGTAAGTCTCCAAAGGAGTCACTTTTAACTCATATAAACCTGGCAATAATTTTCATTGTGAAGTCCTTTCATATCCATCAATCCACGTGTGGCTCAGGATGTGCCTGGTGGTGGTTTTTTGGTTCATGTTTTTTTGTCTTTTCTTAAATTGTCAAACACTGCACATCTGTAGTGGAAGGGTAAGTGTGGCAGCAGAAAAGCAGCTCTCTGATAGGCAAGACTGAGCTGAAGCCAGCTTGTTTAGCTAAATGAGCATTAGGGGTCTATGGCTGGTGTGTGTGAAGCATGCATGTGCTTTTTTAGGGTGCTTGAGGTCACAACATCATATTTATGTGTGCTCTAAGAAGTGAATGATGGGAAACTAATTTTTTTAAAGTTTTCCTATGGATGTCACTAGATATTTTATTTTGCATTATTTTTTCTTTTTATATTGGGTCTGATTGCCTTGAAGGAGCTGTGTAGCTATTTCTACCTTGATAAAATCATCTCTTTGTAACAAAGCAGCTGGGGAAACTGCCTTGGTAACCTTGCATTAGGGATCTTCCCAGCTGGCTGATAGCTTCAGGTTTTGAAACCTGTATGGCAGAATGAAATTGCAAATTCAGCATTCAGTGGAGTCACCCTTGGGATTGTTTTATTTCAGCAGATGGAAGTTATAGCAAACCTTGTGTTGTGTGTGTTTCTGTGTGTGAAAGTTGCTGATAACTTTCAGACTGACTCTTCTTTAAAGTACACAGGTTTTTTTTGTCTCTGCAACTTTTGTGTTTGCTCCTGGCAAGTCACAAAGTTGAAAGGTGGTTTAACTTGCATGAAACTCCCATTTTCAGTCTGAAGGTCTTCAGAGTGCTTGCTTGCATCAGCACTTCCCTTTTGTCTTCACACATCGAGAGATGCTGCAGAGCTTGAGAAATTGACTGTGTATGCTTGCAGATCCAAGCAAGAAGCTACTGTGTGGTGTATGTATGTGTGTTTTTTATGCATTCAGGATGCCTGGAGTCAGGAGAATTCCTGGAATGTTGTTCACTGGGATAAAACCAGTCATTAGATGTATGATGCAGTATTTAGACCAATATACAAATCACCACCTTAAAACTAATGGAAGAAATGCATTTATTGTCAGTACTGGTTGAGCTCAAGTGTATGATTTCATTGGCAATGCATGTCTTAGTGTCTGAATATACAGTACTATAAAGGGTTTTTTTCCATTCTAGCAGAAAGATGCACATTATAATCCCCACTAGCACAATGGTGCATGTGTATCTAAAGGCTGTTAGATGCTGATGAAGGAAGATGAATTATCAGCATCTATCATAGATAAATGAGCTGTCATATCTTAAATTGAAAATGAAAACTAATAAGAGGCATCTGTTAAAACTGAGGGTTAAAGCGGAAGATGATCCTACTACCCCCAAGGTTTTACCTGTGTTGCACACAGTGCAACTCTGAAAACAGAAAAAGTGCTGGTTTGAATGACTGTGCCTTACTTCAGTATATACACAGGAGAGCTACTAAGCAATAGCCCAAAGTTCTTGAAAGTGTAGCATGGTTTCAGTGGTGAGCTTTTAAGTAATGACATAACTTCAATGCTGTGGTAACCATGTAATCATCCGGAACTGTGCAGAAGCAGAAAGGCTAAGAGTGGTAACAAAAGTGTTTGAAAAGTCTTATTTATGCAAAATAATGAAATGTGGTGTGTGCCTGTGACACCAAGAAGTGTGTGGGTTGGAGTAGGGACATGCAAAAGAGCTGCAGGAACCTCTTCCTCTTGCTCCTTTGCAGCCATAAAATCATTTTCTGGAGATACCACCCTGATATTTCCTGATTGCTTTAATTAACTTCAGAAATCTAATAGTGATAGCATTTCAAATACAAGAAACTTTTAAATACGAGGAATTCTTATGATGCATAATAGAATAAAACTGTGAAATGATGTAATTCATTTCTGTCTCTGTGAAGGACCCCATTACAGTGTTACAATATTTATAGAAACTGGAGTTGTATCTATTTTTAATTAAAATAATTTGTTTTCTTCTAGTTGTGCCTCATACTAACACTGTGTTCCGCTTTCTGGGTGAGTACTGGAGTCCTATATTTATATATAACTGGAGTTAATGTAACTGCAGTATATTTTAAAAGTAAGATTCTTACATTGTTGTCTCTGCTGTGTTTCTTCCCCCCTCCCCCCTTCTCTCCCCTCCAGTGGCGTAAGGCAGGACTCGCACTGCTTTTCTGCATCTTGCAGTTTTTTGCCATGGCATGGTGAGTGATTTCCTCTCTACACACTCCTCTTTCTGTTGCACCTGACACCAGTAGCTGAATTGTGTGTGGATTTTGATGTTCAGTTAGGTGGAAGGAAAATTTTTACCTTGTCAATCCCTTAGATTAAAGGCAATGCGTCAGTGAAGTGCTGACCTGTTCCCACTTCTTGGTCTCACACCACTACAGAGGCTGTGGAGACAGCTCAGGGCTCCATTTCTAAAGGAAGTTCTTTGATTTCTCTGAGCTTGAACTGAGCTTGCTTTTTTTCTTTCCCTTTTAAATCAATTTGTTGCCTACTATCTGGTATTCCTCTTTTACTCTCTCCTGAATTTGTCTCATCCAGTTATGCCAGTCAAACTGTCAGTGTTCTTCGTGTAAACATATGACTGCAAGGTCACCAAAGGAGTGCACAAACTGATATAGACACCTAGCCAGCCCTCAACATTAATCTTGCCTACCTGTAGGTGTTGGAGCATGAAGAATACCGGATGCAGGGGAGCTGTGTTTAAAATGCTTTCACAACATCCCCCTCTATTTTGCCCTAATGTTTCATACCCTGGCTGGGCTAAGATGGCTTGCAAGCATGTTCTCCTGTAGGATAACTGTTCTCCCAAGGGTAACTCCTTCCTGTTACTCACAAACTCAGAGCTTCATTTTGGTTATGTAACTTGCAGTTTAGAATATCAGAGGGGTTGTTCTTATTTGTGATTCTAATAAAATCTGACATGAAAAGTAACTTTCAAAACCCTTCTTCTTAGGTACAGCATTTCCTTCATACCATATGCAAGGTAAGTTTCTCTACTCTCTTACTGTTTGTAATTTTGAGGTTTAATCATACAGAAGATTAGCTTAGAGAAGCATTGTCATGTGTGACTTTAGAGGCTTTTCCATGGTGCAGGAAATACAAGTGGTTACATCTGAAAATGAAAATAAGCATTTTCTCTAGTGGGAGAACACAAATGGAGAAAATGAGAGGGCTTCCCATAGGAATATGTAAGCTTACTGACCAAATGCTGAGCATAAGGCTTACCTTTGGAATGCCTGAATGTTGGTCCAAACTGCTACTAGACATGTATATTCTTCTGTGTCCCTTTTGGCCTGTTCTCCCCCATAAGCACTGTTCTGTATGAGCACAGTTGTGTCTCCTGCCCCACCATGCTGCAGTGCCCTGCCTCAGTGAAGTCTTGCAGGTGTCACTTCCACAGCAGGTGGGCACTGAGCAGACCTGCTTGTCTCTAAGGCAATTGTGTAGTCATGCAAATCAGGTTAATGCAATTAATACATGGTCAGCTGATCTCTACAGCCTTCAGTGTCAGTGGGATAGCAGCATGGAATGACTCTTATCAGATCATGTAACTGAGGTGACTGATTCTCTTGTGTTTTTTTCTTTCTCCTGTCTGTAGGGATGCTGTGAAGAAATGTGTTTCAGTCTGTCTGTCCTAATGGGAATACTGGATGTCTGACAAAGTTCTAGGAAGTTCTAGGTAGAACTGTTTTGGAGCACTGTGTTGTGTAGTCTCCTACTTCTGTCTTCAACACATGCCTTTCAGCTGCTTGTTAGAAGCTCCTTGTGTTACACCCAGCATCTGCAGTTGCTAGGGTTTGTAAGCAATGATGTCTGTGGGACAGGGGATCAAATGAAATTCAATTTGGCAGAAGAATTGGGCAGAGGTCCACAATTTGTTATGGTGATTCTTGCATAAATTAATGGATTTGGTTTTGCAAAAGCTTCAAAGTAATGTGTGAAATCTGTAAAGTTAAGACCTTGGCTCTGGTGGGACTGTGCCAGTTCTAGAGTTGAAAACTGATTTCTTACCAAAAACTTGGTTTTTTTAAAAATAGCCTTATTTCACTTAATCTTTGCACTGCTTACCTTAGATAATGAAATATTGGTATTCTTTCTTTTCCTGTCTCTCTTGAAAAGTTTTAGTTTTATGAGATTTCTAAAAGATGTAATTCTAAAACCAAACATGGTTTTGGACTAACCATGAAATGTTTGCATCTTTAATGAAATACTTAATTCTCAGTCCATACTGATAGTCTTTCCTTAAAATACATGAAAGGGACATTTTCACCTGAAAAATCTTGTTGCTGTTGGAAAAGCACTCGTAAAATAAGATCCATTGATGTTTTCAGCTACCAGGAACCTGAGTTCTTTTCCTTGCTCATGGTTTCAAGGTAGGAAGCTGACATTTTTCACATGAAGTGAGGTGCTTCTTTTCTCCTCCAGCTGTAGAATAAGAGCAATGCAAAGGGCGTGGTAGGCAAGCAATAAAATAATTTATGTATGTCCTTTCTCAAAGGACAAACTGTCGTAAGGTAGAAGTGGGTTATTGTTTTTAAGCAGCCTGGGTCAGGGAAAAGACATTTTCTTCTGAACTTGTAAATAAGTTAAAACTCCAATATTTATCTTTGTTTCTTTGTAAGTGGAATCAGTTTTCTTTCTGCTAAAACTCTTGCAAACACCAGTGACCTTCTCCGCATGGAGGAGAAAGCACAATATTCTGTTGCCTGTGGTAGCAAGGAAAGCATGAAACAATCCCTCTGCCAGCTCCAAACAAATGCTGAGTGGTCTGTATCCAAATTCCAAGGCCACTGTGGTCTCTTCACCTTCTGAGCTATATGTAATAATTTACTCCCATGGCACTGGAGTGGTCAGTTTAATATCTGAACACAGATTCCTGATTCTGCTGTGTGAGATAGTGTTTAACTACTTTCCCCTTTCCTCTTACCAAACTGTCTTGCTGAAGCCAGTGTTTAAGATTATGGTTTTCCAGTGCACTCTAGTGGAAACTGAAGCATCTCTTCCTCAATCTACTAAGAGTTTAGTTGTTTAAGAGCATTGTGTTTGCATGGCAAGTGTATCCCTGACTTGTGCCACAAAGACTTTAATGCAGGAAAAATCTGGATCTACCTGGCTGTGAAGTATAAGCTCACAGTAAAGGCTAGTAGTTCTATGGCTTCCAGAAAGTTATTAAGAAATTAATTGATCTAAAATCTTAAATTTAAGTGTCCTTCTGATAATTTATAAAGCTCAGTACCATCCACCTGTAAGGATCCTCCAGAAAAAAGTAATTAAAGATTCCCTTTGTAGATGGTATCAAAGGGAGATTTTGACAAGTGTTCTGTGGATTCCAGGTGCCAGAATTACTGTTGAAAAGGAATTTGAATGGAAAATGCCACCTTGGAAAGATGGCACTGATGTTGGAATGAAACAGTTATGCAGATTCAAATACTGCATCCTGGTGCTTTTTTTGCCTCCCAGGATTTTGAAGTTAGTGCTGAAATAAATATGTTGACTATTAATCTTCTTGAAAAGATGATTTGGTTAAATTTGCAAGAGAGACTGGGAATTAAAGAAAACTGATCCTTCTTTTCCCTGGCTGATCTAAGACAAGTGTCTAAACTGATGTGTGTCTTTTTTTATCAGGGACTAAGTTCAAGACCTAATTTACATCAGTCAAAGGACCTTTGCCAGTCTTTTCTTAGGACTTTGATAATGTTTACAGAATTCCTTTTGTATAAGGGAAATTGAAATGCAATGCTAAAACCTTTTACATTCCAATATTCCTTTAATTTTAGCATCTCTGAGTGTCCCTGGAAAAAGCTACAAGCACAGTATCCATTGTTTCTCCTTCCCCTCTCCAGTTAAGTTACGTTAACTCTGATCATCATTCCAGGCTCAGCAGCCACAATAACGGAATTTGACTTTTGGGATTCTTTTTTTGATTACTTCAGATTAGGAGGAGTACATGCCTTTTGCTTATTCCTTGGCAAGCTTGGCAGTGTTCTGGTAGCCTGACTCTCTGGCAGTTCTTCTGGAAGAACAGTAGAGTTGGGTATGGTGAATATTAGTTTTTCAATGTGCACTACTTCTAGCTAACTGGAACCTTTTAGCTGGCTCTTGTGAACACAGCCAATTAGAAGCAGGAAATTTATGAAAATACCAGTAGATAGCACATAAATGGATTTTTGTCCTTTCCCCCTCTCCTCTCAGTTAAAAACTGTAATTCCAGCTTCATAGCCTTTTATTCAGGAAGAGAGAAGAACAAATCTTCATTTGACTGCACAGCACATGAGGCTAAGTAATTGTGCCCTTACAGGAAGTGAACCCAAGGGAAGATGGCAAGGACAGACACAAGGATCACAAGAGTGCCACTGGGGTTTATGTCGCCCTTTGGTGTTTTATTCTGTTCCTGGGGACATCAGACAGTAGGAGAGACTTGCCATATTCTTGCCAATATGTGAAATATACTCAGGGTTTGTTGCTTCATCTACAGGCAGTTTTTATTTAAAATAGCTCTCCCAGAACAAAACTCTTTAGATTCTTACTTTTAAGTAGTTGTAGTGACACTGTTGACAAGTTTATCAGCAAAAGAAATTTCCCTTTTATTGAAGTACTTTATATGATTTTTACATAACTGGGAGTAAACTATATGAATATTCCCTCTTGAATAGTTTTCAATCTGAATTAGATTATATCATTATACCTTGGTTTTTTTTGGTCATTAAACATACTTTGTGCTACGTTTTGATACCATCAGCTTTGGTGATCTGCTTGGCAGGAAGCATGGTGGGTATTTCTGAAGCTTTCCATCCCACTGTCCTTGAGGTCAGGAATGTGTGTTGTGTGCACTTTACTGTGAATAGAGAGCTTCTGGTTGGAATCACAAAGCTCCTTCCTTCCCAAAGTCCTTGCTCAGTTGCTTACAGCACTTAATTCAAGGCTGACTTCCCTAAGGAAACTTCTTCGATGTTGGGTGCCCATCTCAGTAGGATTTGGTGTTCTAACAGAAAGTGATTTTTGCTCTGTTGACCAATTTGTCCAACTTTTTTTCACTTTTTGCTGTACAGATAACATAACCTCAACCAAGCAGCCTTAGCATACAGTTCTAGCAGGAAATTTGTATATTCTGGATCAGCTGACTTTCCAGCTATATTAGAAAGGGAAATAGGGAGGGTGGTAGTCATCTGTTCCCAAAGTGCTGAGACTCTATACATTGGAATATGGGATTTTTTTTCACTACATCAACATTTTGCTCTGTTTCATGTGATGAAGTCCATTCTGCCGGATCGGTCCATGTCTCACAAACAGGATGGGACCCTGACTGGTTGCAGACTTTGGATTTATTATCTGTTTGTATCATACAAGCAAAAAGCAAGAGACACAGGAAAATAACAACATCCATGCAAATCCAGATGAAAGACAAGATGGCCACTTATGCAGAGCCTTTTTCTACATATTCTTTGAACCAATAGCATAAAAGTTTCTTTTGAAACTATTCTTTGAACCAATAGCATAAAAGACAAGGTGTAAAGTCATTATACTCTAACCAATAAAAAAGTGACCCACATGGGTTTAACATCAACAAAAGGACTTCTATAAACCTCAAACAATACACAATAATTCATTTTTTCAGACTGAAACTTCTTCTATCTTTGCAAAGCATATGTCTAGAACTTCTCACATCTTGAACTAGCAATAAGTTCTTGCTTTTTCTTGTTCCTTATGATAAATATAAATGTATTCACTTGGTTTTTAACTTCCTAGTTTCCCATGAGAAGGTTTAGAAATTTCCCAGCCTTTCTTAGCTTTGTGTCTACTTTCTGAGGCCTTTTTGCACTTTCTAAATTCTTTTACCTTTTTATATTCCTACAGTCCATTGTGAATACTGATGCTATCTGAAATGGTTCAACACTGATGATGTGAACAATTTCATCTAATTTAGTATTTATAGTAATAAGATTGTTCATGAGCTGTTACAAAAATCAAGGAAGAATTTTCTGCCACAAGTTCTTTTCAGAAACCATGTTTTTAAAAGGAAAGTGTGTTGGGCTCTGTGTGTGCCTCCAGCTTCCTGAGAACAGCTTTTCCTTCATTTTGGTACTTAATCATGTTCATGAGATCACTGTGCTATTGTAAACTGGGGAGGAGGAAGGTATTTAAACACGTTTGTCTTAAACACTGATGTTTACAACCATAGCATGTGCTGACCATTTTGGAGGGAAAGCACACAAATGGTTTATTGTCTTAAAACCATGTGCCTCACTGTAATGTGGCTAAATTTTTTACCAGCTGTGGAAATCTTTGTAAAATAGAAACCAAACTCAGAAATTCTCTGCAGTGTTTTATGCTGTTACTGGTTGTGTTTGCTAATGTGCTTTTTCTGTGTATTTACACTGTTTGATTTTTACTTTGATAAACATCTTTTTTTCTGACTTACAACTTTCTCTGTAATGAAATTAAACCCTTACAAGTGCTGTTTATCTCCTTCAGTAAAGTTATCACTGCATTAAATTAATTGTTCTTACAGTTAATATTCTTAATGTTCTTATGGCTTTTTTAAAAATGCTGATTCTCCTGATGATGCTGAAATTGCTGTGGGTAATTTGTTTCCTTTTGTTCGTGTGTTTAGTTTTTTTTAAATTATTGTCCTGTCCTCACTTGCTTTGCTGTGCACACAACTTGTACTGCTGGGGGGAGTTTTTGTGTTACCAGTTTTGCAGCAGCTTCACTGAGCAGTTGCAGGCACCTAGACAATTGGTTGGTATGAGTGGAGGTGTTAAGGTGAGGATGATATTTTCATTATTTCATATTTATTTACCTTAAGAGTCAACCTAGGTATGCCAACAAGCTATCCTTAGTCCATGCTACAGAGGAAATAATGCCTGGTGCTATTCTGTCATCAAAGACAACAGGAAGCAACACACCTCTGAAATAAATATGCTCTGAGTACTGATGTACACTCAGTAAAATGTAAATAAATTAAAATATCAATGATTTAGGAAGTTGTGTTAAAATAATTAGCGGCAATTATTTTATTTTTCTTAGCTTTCAAAGAGCTGGTCTGTTTAAGTGTGTGCCTACTATGCATCCAAAGACCTGCCGTGGTTTAATATTTTTTGGCAGTGTATGAAGGCTGTGTGTCCATCAGGCTGTTCAGGGTATGTTACACTGTCTCCTAACTGACAGGCAGGTGGGTTTTTTCCCTGTCTGCAAGGGTGGTGGTGAGACTTGTGTGCTGTGGGAGACTGTGTTTTCAATTATATTTTGTTGTTGTTTTTGTTGATTGTTCTTCTAAGCAAGCTCTGTCTCATGGCGGACTGAACTGAACTTTCTGTCCTACAGGAAACTCCAAAGTTGCAAGCAGCAGCCTGTCTTTGGTAGTATAGAAACCTAGGGGTTTGCATTTTATCTTTTTGAAAAGGTTAGAGTGTCCCAGGAATGTCAGGAAAGCTGGATACATCTGTGTAATATCAAGGCAACTGCAATTCCTCATAGGGCAATAAATCCTTTCCGTGTCTAATAGCTTAGAGGTATTTTACTTGCCTAAATCAACTTCCTGCATAACAACAAAGCTGTTGAACTTTGCCACTTCATTGTCATGCTGAGGTCTTAATGCTTGAATGATTAAAAAAAAAATAAAAAATGAAACCATGATTTGAAATCCCTAAACAACGATCAGCTGCCCTAAAGCGCATTCTGTTGATGAATGAATTTGCACTTTAGAAATGCTCTGAAAGGGTTTGTCAGCTGTGCTGCAGCATCTAGTCCCTGAATCCCATTACCTTGCAAAGTCACCTGCATTCAAATTCAGTGACAAGGCTCTTGGAAAGCTGCTGTAATGTCTGCCCCTTTCCCTTCTCCTTCCTTAAGGTCTGATTTGCAAGGGAAGGTATTTAATGGATGTGAGCCATTCAAAGGTGGGGGTTGATAGTTATTTTGCATCCCTTGCTTGTACCTTTCCTGTTGAGCTCAGCCGTGGTTCCAATATGTGTGGGGGTACAGGCTTGTAACTTCCCAGCCATGAAGTGCTGGAGATCCTAAAGGGAAAAAAATTCTGGTTTTCTCACTTTTCAGAAGAAAGCTGCTGGTGAATTAGAGATGGAATAGTCTATCTAAGCTGCCAGTCTTTGGGATTGCTATTTTAAGTTAGCCTGGTTAAAACCCTTTTAAGTTTCTCTTACGTTCCCTTGTGGCATCTCTAAGAGAAGTTATTCCCGAGAATTCGTGCTTCAAAACCTCTGTGGGAATAAGTGTGGAGTAACATGGGTGTAGTGTAAAAATGGTACAATGAAAGTGTCACCTGCTCAGTGTGATTTCATTGCAGCTCTGAGGGGCTGTCATGCCCTAAAAGCTGGGGAAATGCTGAAAGCTGGAGAGGGGCTTTGTACTGGGCACACATAGTGACACAGGACAAGGGTGAACAGCTTCATACTGGAAGAGGGGATGTTTAGATTAAGGATTATGTGGTAAATAGGTATGATTCATGCTGACAAAATTGAAACAGTAATCAATATTGATTCAGTAATTAATATTTGGAAATAATAATGGTTTTTTTTTTTTTTTGGTTTTTTTTTTTTTTTTTATTGGATAATTGGGCAAATATAACAATTAGGAAGAAATCCTTTACTGTGAGAGTAGTGAGGCACAGGAAGAGATTGCCCAGAGATGCTCTTGATGCCCCATCCCTAGAAGTGTTCAAGGCCAGGCTGGATGGGGATCTGAGCAGCCTGGGATAGCAGAAGGTGTCCCTGCCCATGGCAGGCGGGCTTGAACGAGATGATCTTCAAAGTTCCTTCCAACTCAAACCATTCTATGATGCAATATGTGGTGTGAAAAGAAAACATTTTAAGATGGGCATGTGCTCCTGTGGTTTCTGTTTGTGTGTAACAGGATGTGTCAGGCTCATTGCTTTTGAGAGAGTCAACTGCTTCAACGGAGTTATAATTACAACTTGTTTAGCAGAAAGCTTTAACCTACACACTCAGGTTAAAAGTGCATGTTTGGTTTGCCCAGTAAACACTGAATGTATTACTTTTGTTCTGAGCTCTTGTAAGTAGAATTTAAAGCTTTGCTTAGAATCTCTTACTTTTTTAATTATTTTCTGATCTTAAAGATGGGAACAGTAATAGTTTCTTCCTCTTGATGATAATTCATGTCTGAAGACATCACTGAAGATCTTCAAGTCAAAAAGAAAAACCAAATTAGAGAAAAGTATTATTGTTTAAAGCAAACTAAATTACATTTATCACTAGCCTGACTTTATGTATTTGGTTTGCTCTTAATGTTTTGGTGAGGCGGCTACAGGGGTGGCTTCCCTGGGAAGCTGCCAGAAGCTTCCCATGCATTGACAGAGCCACGGCCAGCTGGTTCCAAGATGAACTCAATGCTGACTAAGGCTGAGCCCACCAGCAGCAGTGGTAGCAGCACTAGGGTAACATATTTGAGGAGAAAAAACCCTTACACTAATGCAGCCAAAGAGATGGGAGAGAATTTGTGAGAGAAAAAGCCCTGCAGACACCAAGGTCAGTGGAGAAGGGAGGGGCAGGAGGTGCTCCAGGTACCGAAGCAAAGTTTCCTCTGCAGCCCGCGGTGCTGACCATGGTGAGGCAGCTGTGCCCCCACAGCCCATGGAGGTCCATGGGATGCAGAGACCCCCCTGCCAGGCAGACGGATGCCCATAAGAGACTGTGATTTATCGGAAACCCAAGCTGGAGCAAACAGCTGAACAGAGGAGCCCACACTGGAGCAGGTTTGCTGGCAGGACTTGTGACCCTGCAGAGAACCCACACTGCAGCAACCTGTTCCTGAAGGACTGCACCCTGCAACAGCTGGTTTGAGGGGGCTCCCCGGGGGGGCCCCTAAGCTGCATGTTTGCTGGTAACAGCAACAGAGACTGCACACGGCTTCTGAGGGTGCTAATTACGGCAGGATTTATTGGGGGTCCCACCCCCGGGAGCAGCATGGTTTCTGAGGGAGAAGGGGGGAAGGGGGAGGGAGGGAGGGAGGGAGAGCTTGGGGAGAAGAGGGCCAAGAGAGAGTCTGGTCTCTCTCACACAGCTCAACAGGGAGATTCAAAGTGGCTGCACAATATGACTTGGGCCAGTGGGATTACAGATACATGAGACTTCAGGGGAGGACCACAGGCTTGGAATAAACTGTACATTTTCGAGGGGTGAGACGGAGCATACCATTTAACTAAAATGTAACACCACAGCACCCCATGGAAGTGACCCCTACTAGAGCACTATGTGAAAAACTGAAGGCTGGGGGAAGGAGTAATGGAGAAGTTCATGGAGAACTGTTTTCCATAGGAGGAATACTATGCTGGAGCAGGGGAAGAATGTGAGGAGCCCTTCCCCTGTGAAGGTCACTGGCAGGAAGGGGGAAGAGAAAACCAGGAGGAAAGTTAGGCCTGGGAATAAATGAGGGGTGGAGGGAAGGTGTTTTAACATTTGGTTTTATTTCTTATTAGCTTACTCAGTTTTGATTGTAATAAATTAAACTAATTTTCCCAAGTCAAGCCTGCTTTGGCCAAGATGGTAACTGGTGAGTGATCTCTCCCTGTCCTTATTTCAACCCATGAGCCTTTTGTAATATTTTCTCTGTCTCTGCTGAGGAGGATAGAGGATGGGAGAGACAGAGCAGTACCCAGCCTTTGGCAGGTACCTGGCGCCCATCCACGGTCAACCCATTGCACTACATTAGGTTTTTCCCTTGGGTTTGGGGTTTTTTTCTTCTTTCTCTTTCAAAAAAGCATGGAAAGTCTTCCCTGCTCTCTGGGCTCAGAATTAATCTCAGTATAATCTCAGTTAAAACACCAGACAGGGAGGTACCACTCAAAGAAGCTGCCTGCCTTTCTGCTAAAAACATGCCCGGGGGATGTTACTGAAACTGTGCCCTCATCCCGACATTAATGAAAAGGCTAATCTTCTTTAAGTCTCCTCTAGCCTAACAATCCCTTAAGGGGCTGAACACATGATTAAAAAACAGAAGGAAAGCAGCTGTCTTTTTATCCGTTCTCAATTATTCCCTGGTAGTTGATAGGTGTTGATTTCCTGGGATAGAGGTTACGTTTCCCTGTGTTGTTGGGACTCACTGTTCAGAGGGGGTTAGTTGAATGCTGCAGTGGGAGCTTTGGAGATGGAAAGAGTGAGTCTTATTTTCTGCAATTTCATCTGATGATGAAGGGCTTCCTTTTCTTTGGAAACATGCAGCTAAAGGCCACAAAACAGCTATCCAATGTCAAGGCAAGAAAGGCCTCTTTAATTACCTTTTTCTTGTTTGCATTTTTTCCCCCTCCCTTCTGTGTACCTCACCAGCTGGTGGCCAGGAGCATTTAAGAATAAGCTTAATTAGAAAGTCAGAAATAACCCCTTGCTTTTTCCTGCTGTAACTTAGTAAGTGAAGTCCAGTAAGTATTGCAGGATTGTTCTGATTGTTTTTTCACTGCTCTCTCCAGTCCTTATTGCTTCATTTAAAATGTGAGTTACTAAATTATTATTAGTAAATCAGAGATGATTGTGAGTGTTGTGCTTGCATTCTGAGCTACTTCTGCCTATGAGCTACAAGGAGTCTGCTTGGAAGTGCCCAGCTCTCCCAGCTAGGTTTCAGGGAAAGCTTACAAATTTGCAGGTTTTGTAGGGGCATTTTCTGGTCCTTCTGTCACCTCTACTGCTTTGCTTGTCTAATTAAATGGGTGATAAGTGCAAGAGGGGCAATAAACAGTCCCCCCTTCCACAGCACTGGCTGTCAGCCACCAGAAACACTTACTGTGCTCCTCTGTAAGTCCAACTACCTTTTCTTCAAATGTCAGGTTCAGGAAATTTAACATCCAGCCCAAGAAATAACCCACACCGGAGAATGGATTGGTCTCTGTGCCTTGACAATATCTACAGCTAGTGACATTAATCTGTTTGGGCCTCTGTTCCAGTACCTGTAGACTTGGAAAAATTAATCTTGCAAGAAAGTAGAGAAAGAAGGGTTGTTTGGAAAGGATTCCAAGTTGTTATTTAGGTGAATAGAGGGACAAAAGATTAGAGGATGTCTCTCATTTCTCTTAAAACAGGCTAAATATTCAACGTGAATTTCCAAACGTAGTATTTTTGTTAAATGAAAAGCCAACAAAAAACAAAGAACTGACTCTGAATCTCTCTGGTTTCTGTTCTGCAGCCCTCTCCCATGGCAGCGGTGTGACACAGAGACTGTGCACAATGCAAAGAAGCATCATTCATGGAATCTGGAAGTGTGTTAAAGTAAAATCTCAGGCCCAAGTACATTCAGCTGGTCATGTGCTTGCATATGTGTAAACTTATTATTTCTTTGGCTAATTCTTTTAGGTTGGAAAGATATGTCAGTGGTGAAATATGCCTTCTGCTACATCCAACACAAATTGCTCTTAGGCTGAACTCTTAGAGCTGAAACAATCTTCCCCATGCTGAAAATAGTAATTGGGCTGTTCCCACTAACCAACCACAGGTAACTACTGTCATTTTGGAAAATTTTGAGGTTTCAGGTGTCCTGAGCTGTGGTAGCATAGTTACTAAAATTCAAACTGTGTGAAAGTCAGGTATTTTAAGTTGTTAGATTTGTGGTTTATTTTTTCCTCTGGACACTAGACTTTCAAGAATCAGATACCTTGTATGAGTGATACCCTAAGCACACAAGTGTTACCCACTTCTGTGATGTGAAAGTGCATTTTATTACTGTGCAGGATACAAGTTTTAGTACGATATCCCAAAGTAAAAACATTCATGCTTCTCCCTTAGGTATGCTAGCTGTAAAAAAAATCCGGTCTTATTGATGAAAAACTCTCATCCCAACCCATTACTGGAACAGGTCCATTGTCCATTCCTTCCATACACGCCTCCTTCCCTACAGCTCAGTCCCAGGAGTGCTTTGGGCAAGTGCTTGGCACTCCAAGCAGGACTTCCCTTTCTTTTGCTTTGTGGTGGCCTCCATTTCCAGACAATTTTTTCTGAGCAAATCCTTTCTTTACCTTTAGTGATGCACAAGTGTCTGCTGGTGAGAGAGTTTCACTTCCTCATTTAGAAATTCTTCCACCAATGTAAACTGTTGTTGCTTTTTTGCATGCTTTTGGTTTCCTTTAAGTTCTAAGCATCTTGAGGAAGGTAGATGGGATCTGATTTTTTGAGGCTCTAATCCAGTATCACTCCACTTGAAGCCCTGCAGGAGAGATGGGCAGTGAGTACTTCTGAAAGCCAGGCTGCTTCTCTTTTTATTTGTCTGTAGAAAGAATGGTGTGTAACTACTGGAATATTATAACTTTTATGAGCTGTTGTCTCTTTACCTGCCTTGACTTTGAATCTCCAGATTTCTGAGCAATTATATCTAAAAAGCCTGTATGGAAATAGGGCTTCAGCTAAAAAAAATTCCCAAAGTAACATGTACCTGTTTTAGAAGTTCCTGAAAACCTGAAAATGTTTAATTAAAATTCATGGCACTTCCACCAGCTTCAATTTCTTTATCTATTTGCATCTGTAGTATAATAAAATTTAAAATTGTCTCATATATTTTCCTATGCATTTCCTATGCCACTTGATCACATGCAGGGAAAAATTACAGTAGTAGCTTCTCTCTCCTCTTTGAGTATTTGGAAAGGGGAACCCAAACATAAACATATTCCATTTACACCAGCATACCTGAGATGCAATTATTTTTCAAATGCAAGGTGGTACCCTTCCAGGTACCTAAATATCCTATAGATTTTGAAGTACATTCTTTAGTTGTTCAGCAGTGAAAGTGGGCTGTTTATCAACTAGAAGTTGCTATCTGACACCTGCTAATGTAACTCACCTGAGTTTACTTATAAAATAATCTAGGTATTTTGGTTATGAGTTGAAAATTTAAAAAAAGAAGAGGGGAAGAGGTGTCAGAGTGTGAAGTTTGAAAGCAGCAAAGAATCACAGGATGATTTGGGTTGAAAGGGTGCCAAATAAGGTGCCATCAAGCTCTGGCCATTGTTATTTAGGTGGAAGGTACCTCACAGTTTTTTTAAAGGCGAGATCAGTTGGCCTTGTCAAATGATGGATTTAACTTAAGTTCCCTTTTATAGAGCCTGCCATGGTCTTTTTTGTCTGTAAAAATCCCAACAGTGATCCACCATGTTATTTTGTCTTTCTAAAAGAGACAGAAACGAAGAAATTCAACAGGGACTATTGAATCGAAAGAATGCAAAGCTCTCAATAAGCAGACAGAGAATTTATTTCTCTAAAAATGACCTCTAGGACTACGTTTTCATAATCAAGTCCCTGACTATGTCATGTCCAACAGACTGGAAATTTAAAAGACATTATCAGAGATAGATGTATCACAAGAAGATAGGTACTCCAGTATTTGTTGTATACCAAAGTGTTTACAGGTCACTGTTATTTGTGGGGCTTCCTCTTAACCCTCCAGCAGGGGACTGAGCCCACATCTCGTCTCCTTGAATGCTGAAATTGTTGGAGACCTCAGCAAAATGGTGGCTTTTTTGTGGAGGGCTTGTGTTGTTGGATCAGTCTTGTCAGAGAAGGTCTCAGGATGAGGTGAGAGGGAATGACTTATGGGGATGCTGATGGAGCTTATGCATGAGATGGACCTTGAGCTGGTCAGCAGTGTCAGGCCTCAGACAGTTAATCTCATACCAGCCCCAGAAGTGTGCAGTCTGTCCCTGGAAATGCAGCCAGAGGGGTGTTCAGCCACCTGTAAAGTGCAGCAGTTTTGTGAATGACAGTGGGACCAAGGGATGGATACAATATCCATCAACAATGGAGAATAGGGATGCTGCCTTCTCTTTGTGCACTGCAACCTCACTGCTGCAAGGTCTCTTACTATTATATTTTGATTTAGGAGTGTAGAGGAATGAGGTAAATGCATTTATGCAACATGCATGGTGAAAATATTTTAAGACAACCTTCTCTGTGTAACTATCTTGACTCTTCCTAGCTCCTTCAGTTAGAGTCCGCACCGGCGTGAATGCAATTTCCATGCATTGTTTCAGTCTGGAAATGAAACAATTTTCATTAATGGAAACCTGGTTCTCAAGCAGAACAATTAGACCCACTTCAGGTTGAAAAAAGATAAAAGCATGCTAATTTGGATGGAGGACTCTTCTTTCAAGGCAGCCAATTGAGTCATCAGCCAGCCACCCACCTGACTGTCTAACAGGTAATTAGGAGATAGTCCTCTTTTTGTGTGGAGTGTGTGCGTAAACCTCCACACACTGGTGTCACTGCCCATTGGGACTTCCAGGGGAAAGAGCGAGGCAGTGGCAAAAGAGTGAGGAGAGCACGTTTGTCAGACGGTGCCCAATGAACTGACTTCTTTTTTAATTTTGCTTGTTATTTTTGTCTTTTCAGCAGCTACCTGAAGTTTCTGGCAGTAAAGCTGCCATGGCAGACCTGGGCTGCAAAAAACCCAGCGACTGCACCGTCTCCAGGCTCCTCAGCGTAGTGGAGAGTGAACTCCGGGCTGGGAGAGACAAAGGCGACCCCACGGAGAAACAGCTCCAGGTTGTCTTGGAGGATGCGACACTCTGGCAGAGATTCAGGGAAGTCACTAATGAGATGATTGTGACCAAGAATGGCAGGTGAGTGATCTGCTCAGCACTGCGGGCTCAGTGGAGGTGACAGCCAGGGGGGTTAAGCTCTGCAATAATAAACTATGTGTGCAGACTCGAGAGAAATGCAATGAGCACACTGGAGTTTATAGGGGACTGCAGCCTTGCAGTCTGCTAAAACCAGTGCTTGAACAAGATGGGGTGACCCTGCTTCTTTTTGGTCACTGCCGAACCATTCCTCCTATGAAGCATGCTGGAAAAATATATAGACTAACTTGTGATTGCACAAAAAGGAAACTTTTGCAAGGGAATATCTCTCAAAACCTTTGTAATGAATTCTTATGCTAATAATCATCAGTCTGTATTAGCAAGTCATCACCTATAGGCTTCAAATTACTGCACAGAAGCAGGTTGGTGTTGTTACACCCAGCTGCAGTTCCCATCCCTCTGGCTTGGGTATTAACAGCTTGTACAAGCAGTCTGTACCAGACTGTGTGCCATAAAACTGCCCTACATGCTCTGTATGTATGTGCAGTCTGAATTGCATGGTCCCACAGTTGTTGCTGGTGCCTTTAGAGACAAGTGTGGAATATTGCTTAATATACACTGTTTTAGAAGGACAAAATATTGTGGTATAAATGGATCACATGTCTTACTATTTGGGGAACACAGAGAGGCACAGGAAAAGAGTGACAAATCTGGTGAGAAGGATGCTAATTCTGAATCAGGCACTAGCTTGAAGAAGGTTCTCCACAGAGGTTCTGCTCTGAACTGGGCTGACAGCAGAGTCCAGCCCATAACAGACAAGCAGTTACCAGAATAAGATTTGCACAATGGTACTAAGGTTTTTATTTAATTTATCCTCGCCAGCCTTTTGCTGCCCCTGACCCCAGCTGTTCCCTCAACATGCACATGTTTTATGAGACGTCTCAGGAGATCCACATAGGAGAGAGGGATTAAGAGATGGAGAGAAAAACTTACTCATGTGGTGTGACTTTCAATAATTTTGCAGACTTTGATTTAGAAGAATTTGTGGATGAAATTGCTCTTGACTGTAGCTTGATGAGGGATATAAGTGAAAGCAGTAAAAATGAAAAATCTTGTCTGTTGGCTCAGCAAGGTGATTCTGCAGAGAGAAGCTACCTTCCCAAAGTACCAGCTCTTGGTGTAAGAGCACTGTTGCCATTCTGATTCCTACTAATAACCTATACTGATAGAAATCTGCTGCTGAGATTCCTTTTAAATCATGAAGCTGCTTTTGCTTCATTTAAATTGCTTTGAAAACGGCTGTTAGGCTACAGATAACTTCTAAGTGGACTTTCACTTGGTGTACAGCAGCTTAAACTGTCTCCCTAGCAGTGTAAGTGACTAAAAATGTGGTAAGATGGGTTTGTCTCTGATTAATTAAATTGGTACAAAGAATCACACCTTATCAATAGGGTTTTTTCAGTTTCTTTCCTTGCAGCTAATGAAAATCATGACTTTACAATGATACTAGTTCCTTCTGAAATGTCAGGGTGAGTGTGTAGATAAAATATTTTTATAATATTGATAAGAGAATATTTTGTTATCTGAATATGGCTGGGTACTTTTTATTTAATTGTGTAAGCTGTATGATTTTTCAAATTTAATTTATACACTCCTTATCAGCCTGATTCTACTTTTCCTATAGCCAGTGACATCTCTAGAAATGTCAGTGAAAGCAGCGATAGAATTCTTTATGATCAAATCACAGCAAAACTAAAAATTACAAAAGTATGTCACACTGCCATTTGCATTAATCCTTTTAACATAGTTACTGTAGCAGAGACTATGAAAAAGGATCTCTGCATTTCTGAAAGTATTTTTCATCAAAAACCACAGCATCACACTAAAACAAAGAAAATACAGACTGTGGCCTGCAGCAAAGAACTCTGAACCATGTTACTCAAAAGGAGACAGACTTGAGACAATTTCCTGTGATTCCTGAGTTTTTCTCAGGCTCAGGATTCTTTAGTGATTGCCTCCAGAGAGATTCTCAGGAAAAAAAATATTGATCTTATTCTGCTGCTGCTAATACAGCAGAATACAACTGAGTAAATACAACTAAACCATTCTTGATGAAGGGTAGATGAAAGCTTTTGAAATCTGTGTCCTACAATGAAAGAGAAGAGCCAGCCTGAACTTTTGTGTGTGGAAACTAAAACAGTTGGTGTGGACAGACACATTGTCAGCAAAGCTCAGAAATTAAACAGAAACCTGATATAGGAGTGTCCCAGAGAATGAAAGTCTAATTGACTAGTGATCCTCAAGTGTTAAATTCTAGCATGCACAATTCTATCTGCTCTGAGTCATCTCTAATTGGTACTGAGGGTCCCAAAATGTCACAGTTAGATGAACCAACTTCGGTGTTAATATACAGATATACCTCTGTGGCTGTATCATACTTCATTATAATAATCACCTGCCCTAGCAATATGCCTAGGGGAAATAGATATATTCTGAACAGGACAGATATTATTAAAATTGAAATATGTGCTATATCACAAAATATATCTCAATGGGTGCAACTGGTAGAGTGGGAAACCATCTCCTATTTTCCTCAGACCTATTGTATTCAACTGACACTTCAATATCAAATGCAGTGTTATCTGACTGAGTAGGTTTCGTCTCTCAGTGTTTATACCATACTAGCTAGGCAGTATCCTGAGACTTTGCAATCCCTGTTATTGCCTGGAGACAGGTAGGTGCCACTGTTCCCCTCTGTGTATGGGGAGAATCCATAGGGGATCAGTTCAGGCAGCCATGAGTGGGGAAAAAGAAGCTCTTTCCAGGCTTGAATGCTAAAGCAACTTTACTGGTTACTGCACATTCAAGTTTGATATCAAACATCTTCCCACTCAAGGTCTGCACTGTGGACCTAATTGCAGCAGATTTGCTCTAAATTAATCAAAGAGGCTGAAGTGTTTGGCTGTTGCAGCAAAGGAGGTCACATGTGCACCTACCTGATCATTGAAACAAACATTCTGACTGAAACAAATTTGGAGAAATCACAATTTGCCATGCTAAAATACAGATTTTAACAGTAAAGCTACTTAATCAGCAGAACATGTTAGGTGGTAAGTTTTCCATCGTTAGAGTCTGTACAGTCAAAACTTGCTGGTCCAAGTGAGGCAGGGAATAACTGGGAGTGAAGATGGTTAACTCAGGGAAATGCTCTAATCTTAGTGCTACAGGAGGTTAAAATGGATGGTGCTCTGCACAATCTAGTGACATTAAATTTTCCTGTGGATTATTTTTTTCCTCTAATTCAATTTCAACTATGTATCTAAATATGTTCCTTTGAACATTGACTGGGGGAGATCTAAGCATTGGTAGGAGCAATGCATCCATACTTTCTATCACATCCCAGTTTGGTAGCTGGTACATCCTGATCAGAAAGACATGTGTAGTGTGTCTTGACTAAGCTTCTATTTAATTAGAAAGGTCGTGGTTCACAGTACCTTGGAGACCAGTGAGGAGTGCTGTTCCTCAGGGGTTAGTACTGGGACTAAAGCTTTTGTCACCTTTGTTGGTGAGAGGGTCACACCCTCATCTAGCTTGCCAGCAATGCCCAGCTGTGTGCTCTGGTTGACATGTGAAGGGAAGGGATGTCATCCAGAGGGATCTGGACAGGCTTGAGAGCGGGGCCCACATGAACTTCATAAAGTGAACTTTGTGGTTCTGCATTTTAATGGACAAGGACTCAGGAGTGTTGGTGGACAAGAAGCACAACACGACCCAGCAATGTGCACTGACAGCCCAGAAAGCCAAACACATCCTGGGCTGCATCTAAAGCAGCGTGGCCAGCAGGGCAAGGGAGGGGATTCTCACCCTCTGCTCCATTCTCACGAGAACCCATCTGGACTGCTGCAACCAGCTCTGGGATCTCCAGTACAGGAAGGACATGGACCTGTTGGAGCAAGTCTGGAGGAGAGAACCTCTCCTATGAGGAAAAGCTTAGGCAGCTGAGGTTGTTCAGCCTGGAGAGGAGCGAGACTTTACAGCAGCCTCCCAGTACCTAAAGGGGGCTGCAAAAGAACTAGAGAGGGACTTATTTTATAGGGACATAGAGTGATACAAGGGGTGGTGAGGCACTGGGAAAGGCTGCCCCAAGAAGCTCTGGATGCCTCATCCCCGAAGGTGATTCAAGGCCAGACTGAATGAGGCTCAGAGCAACCTGGTCTAGTGGAAGGTATTGGGGACACCAATCCAGAGACTGGGACAAGATGATCTTTAAGGTCCCTTCCAACCCAAACCATTCTATGGTATCTTCTTCAATACTGCACTGACACATATCAGCAAGTATTAATACTAGATGAAAAATCTCAAATTTCTCAAATTCTGTCTTTCTCTGTCAGCAGAAGGTACTGAATGTATGCAGCAAAAACTATATCAAGGTATCCAGAAAGGTGAGTGGGATGTCATATTGTTAGCAATTTGCATTTGGGTGTCACTAGACAGTATGACTGCAGGGGCAGAGACTTCCAGTGTGCTTTGAAGCAGCCTGGAGTTTCAGCTCCCTTCTTATGTATTTTGGATGTCTTGTATGGCTACCTAAGCCTTGAGAGCTACCTTACCTTAACCCCATTGCTGTGGACCTCGGGCCGTTCCTCTGGTTGCTTGGTATACTCTCTCTTTACCCACAGAGAAAAGGACCTCAGAGATTCATTTGCTTTCGTTGGAATTTATGGTCCATAAAAATGTGGCATGCAGAAATGGTAGTTGCCAGGAGAGGTCAGTATGGAGATGACTGAGGCAGGGAGGCTGGTTACTCATGGAAGAGGAATGTAGGAGGTGATATGTAATAGCAATTACGTGTATTCCTTGACAAGCTAAGAAGCTTAATGAATAGGTTACCTTTGCTGGGAGACACCTCTGTTCTGATGTCCACACGTTATTCCCAGTTCCTGCAAGTGTTGGAGCCCTACTAGCTCTACTGCTGCAGACTTTCAGGTGCCAATTCAGAGCTGTGTGGCATTGATCACAAGCACTGGGACAGATAGAAAACCACTGAAAGTCAAGCTATGAGCTCCTGCAAATCTTCTTTACAAAAGAAAAAAAAAAAAAAGAGGGGATTGAGAAAAGGTGGCATTGGACCTTTGGGCACAAAAGGAGCTTTTTCCCAAAATTAAACAAAGGCAGGATTTCAATTTTAAGCACATGAGATAATGGAAGGCTGGGTAGAAGTTTAGAGCTTGTATGTAAGATGAAACTAAAAGCAAAAAGGACATGGTCAAGCTGCTGAGGTCAGGGAATATTGAAGTATGGGACCAAATTACTGGAGAAACTGGCAGGTGCAAGGTCTGATGGCAAGGGTGGATTGAAGGAAGGGAGGATGTTTTTTTATACTGAGCTAGTCAGTGAGCATCTGGAAACAAACATGCTGAGAGGAGTCTTTCAAGAGCAGTTTCCAGTGGTGTCCCCCCTTTTTGTTTCCCCGACCAGGCGGATGTTCCCTGTTTTGAAGATCAGCGTGTCAGGCTTGGATCCGAATGCCATGTATTCCTTCCTGCTGGACTTTGCTCCGACTGATGGCCATCGCTGGAAGTACGTCAATGGAGAATGGGTGCCAGCTGGGAAACCAGAGCCACCGAACCACAGCTGTGTCTACATCCACCCAGACTCTCCCAACTTTGGGGCCCATTGGATGAAAGCTGCCATTTCCTTCAGCAAAGTCAAACTTACCAACAAGCTCAATGGGAGTGGGCAGGTATGGCCTGATGTTTCCACATCACCTCTTGGCTTCAATTGCAAGCACCTACCAATCAAGAAATATCAAGGGTGCATTTATGTAATTATAGAAGCCCTTACAGGCCTCTTCACCCACAGATGCCAATTATTCTCTGGAGGCCAAATGTAAACAGGGATAAACAGGCCTTAATTGGCACTTTCAGATTTTAATGGACTTCTTGATGTTAAGAGAGACAGAGTGCTGTGGTTTACTTAATCGTCAGGGGTCTTTTCAGAGCTGGTCTTGTGTGCTGGGGATTTTTACATAGGACTTCAGAGAAAGGGGGGAAAAATGGCCACAAGTATTAGGTTTTTGTTGTGCTCCCCAATGTTGTTTGGTGTAAGTGGAATGTTGGCAGGAGTCAGATGGCAGAATAAAAGGCTGCTCCTAAATGAAATAATTACTGTGTCTGCTTCTACATCATGATAATTATCAATATTCTATTGAATCAGCTTTGGCCTTTGGAAGGAAACCACATGTACCAGAAATAAGTGACTTTCTCTTTGAACCGCTTAAAAATACAAACAGGAAAATTAGTTTTGTTTCATATTTTATTTTTGATGATGCATCTAAAGGCAAAATGTTGCACAAGACCTTTTGTTTGCTTGTTTGTTTGGTACAAAACTCCTACGGTGGATGATACTTGTCAGCCCAGAATCAACTTCTTTCATGTAAATGTTATATGCTCTCAATCTGTTATTTCCATTAGGTTTGTGAGGTACCTCTGTAAGCTTAGTGCTCTAATGAGGTAGGAAATTATCTCAGGTTTTACTGGTTGGAGAACAGGAGGATGATCTGACTTTTCCTTAGTCATATGTGGAACCAGCACACAAGAATTATTGTAGAGCATAGAACAGGATCTGAGTTTGCAAGTGCTTGTCATGTGTCCAGGATCGCAGAAAAGTCAAAAGCCTCAGAAAAATATGCATGGGGGGGAGAAAAAAGCTACAGGAAACTTGGAGGGTCAAAGAGTCCCTGGGGAAAAAAACAGGGGAACACTCTGTATATATATGAAGGAGAGCAAAATAGTAGAAAGCAGGAGAGGAAAAACCATATGAGAAAGAGAACCCAAACAAAAGTTACTAAACAATAAATGACTGAAGCTTCCTTTGCTTTCTTTTGAAATCATGATCATAGTGTTAAAAGAAACCATGTTCCCACTCTGTGCTTCAGCTGCCCCTTCTGTGATGGTATTAGAAAGTAATTGATGACTATCAGTGCTTTATGCTAATAGCTGTGTTCTTTCTTATATATACATATATATGTGTGCATGTACATGTATGTATGTATGTATACATCACTTTGCACAGTACAAATTAAAAAAAAAAATTTCTTGCACCAGAACCAATTAAAGGACCTAATAGACTTCCTGGAATCAATGCTGTTCACAACTTTTATTGCTAGTTTAGACAATCTGCCAAGGCCTGTTTGGATACACTTAATCTTTCCCAGAGAGGAGTCTGGATGACTGCCTTAGCTTCCTCCTGGCACCTTTTCTGTGATGGTGATTCTGGTCTTTCAGACAGCAGAAGCAGGACAGGGAGTGCCCCTGAGCTGTTTCAGCAGCCCCTAGTGCAGTGGGAGCCCAGTGGTTTGAGGGCCATGGCTGCTAACACAAATATCACTGCTGCTGCTGCTGCATCCAAAGCCTTAAGTCCAGTCCAGTGAAGTCTCATTCTGTTCAGCCTGTGGTTGTTGCAGGTGAGGAAGGCACCTGCCCCCCTGTTTCAGGAGTCACTGGCTGGCGAGGTTCAGCAGCGACAGCTGCTCTGTCACAGAGCCAGAGGGTGGCTGCGAGGTACCAGAGTGGCACTGGGGGCTGTCTCTCTGTTTTGTTTCCTGCAGATAATGCTGAACTCCCTGCACAAATACGAGCCCCAGGTGCACATAGTTCGCGTAGGAGGCCCCCACCGGATGGTGATGAACTGCTCCTTCCCTGAGACGCAGTTCATAGCGGTGACTGCCTACCAGAACGAAGAGGTAGGCAGGTGTACGCTGTGCTCTGGTCACCGCTGATAAGATCTGTTAGAAGCTGATTTGCTACAAGACCAGCAAGCCTTTTCTTGTTTCCCCACCAGTTCTATGCAGTGTAATACTCCATCCAGTCTGATACTCTGTTTTTTCTCTGTAGTAGAATGTTGTCTAATCTAGTGTCTGGCTTCAGGACTAAGCCAAGTTTAGCTTAATATCCTGCCACAGCTGCATATTCCAGACTGGTCCATCTGTCCCAGCATCTCAATCCTTTGCTGGAAATAAAAGCCAACAGCCCTACAGTCAAGCCCAATATCTTTCTCCAGCAATAACTGATAGTCATAATGATAACCCTATCTCTCCATGTTCCCTATAATACATAAAACTGCAGAATAACACAATATTGCTTGGGAAAATTTCTGCCCTTGAGGGATGCTTTGGACTATAAGGATTGCTAACTCCTAAGCCACATCCCATAGCTAATGTTGCTGCAGATTTTATTTGTACTTGATAGGAATTCAGTGTGCAAACCCTCTTGAAAGGGTCCACCATTCCACCACATTTACCAGACAAGCTCATGCCAGGCTACCCCAGCTGGTGTTTTGCCTGTGGCATTGATCAGTACACAGCAAAGCTGTCTCCTACACAGCCCTGGGAAACACCAAGTGTGGGGATATATTTTAGGTTAACCCAGGCAGTTCCCCTCAGATTACTCTGGAGGATGTTTTGTCACGTTTCTATTTCAAATTGCCTTCACTAACATGCCTTGTTTTCTGTAAACTCAAGATAACAGCTCTCAAAATCAAGTATAATCCCTTTGCCAAAGCCTTCCTGGATGCAAAGGAAAGGTGAGTTCATATTTTGTTTTTTTTTTTTTTGATCCAGTAGCTTTTTGCTGCTGATATGGTTAAAACTGTGACATCACCATATGAAAGATAAATTACATAACTGAATCTTGTTTCTGCTAAATCCAGAGTCACTCCAATGGTATTATGGGGGAGACTATATAATTATTATAATACGTGCTGGAACGGCTCAACATTCTCTTGGGGATCCTGGCACTTATGTCTGTCTACACAGAAAGCCTGAAATGAGGTGGTGTGAGCTTCCCCAGTAGTGTGATACCCCACATATGTCCACTACGCTATACTTGCACTCCAATGAATCCTGTAATTTGATAGGTCAGGGAGAAAAAATGTTAACTCCAAGTGTCAAAAAGCATAGTTGAAGTGAAATTACAATGTAACTGTAATGTACATTACAGTTATGCCGTAATGTAACTACATTGCTGTTATTAAGTCTGTGTGATAATTTATGATGGGTTTATTAAAGGTAAGACATCAGAGATGCTTCCATCGGAAATTAATTGTAGTTCATCTTGTAAAATTTTCCTCGCATCAGCCACGTTAATGTACAGTGGCATCCAAATGATGCATTCTAGCCCATAATTTCTAATTAATTTTGTTTGGACCTCCTTTATCTTCTGACATGTGATGTGTCCCACGTGCCTGCAGGAGAATCTGTATTTCCTTTCATTCCCCTCACCAATTAAGAAGTTGCTGTGTCTCAGTTTCCAGCTGGGGAAGGGGGAATGCAGCCTTCAGCTTGCCTGCAAGCAGGAATGGTGCCTACAGGCAGATTTAGAATTCCATGTTCAGCTCACAAATATGGCAAAAAATTAGGAACATTTTTGTTTATGTCATCAAACAAAAGCTCCAGCTTCCTTTATGGTAGAATGGAGGAAGGTTTACTGCTGCCTAGCAAGGTTAAAGAAGAGAGATTTCCCTCCTTTTTTACTCACTTCTCCAATTTTTAATTCATAGTTCTGGTTATAACTTTTGTAATTTTTCAATGAGAGCACTTATCACTAAGTATTTTGCTTTTCAGAAGTCATTCCAAGGATGCTCCAGAGACAATCTCTGAAGGTCAACATATGACATATTCTCACTGTAAGGTTTTTATTTATGTCAGGTGCAAGTTTTGTGAGATATGATGGGTGCTGGGAACCTGGGCCTTGCTTAACTGTTTCATGCTGGTCACTTACTGAGTCCTGAATTGTGTTCATAGAGAGGGACCCTTTAAAAAAAATAAGAATATTGAAGAGACCTCACAGTAGGAAATAATGTGAGAGGTCCTGCAGAGGGATCATTTTCAATACAATCCAATTTTTCAATATTAAAAGGAATCTAGAATCAAGATGATATATGACGTTTTTAGAGTTTTCTTACCCCTTTGTTTTATATTTGTGAATGTTTTTGTTACCTATAAATTTATCTTTCATGGGTAAACAGGTAAAAAAAAATGAGGGGAAGCAGAAGCTGCATTTGCTTTACTGATAGCTTTTCTTTCATTTGTTCTTTAATGTTTGTGACATTTTCTGGTTGCTTTCAGCTCTTGTTTTCAGTGTTGGTGGCTTGGGAGGGAGGTGGAGGGCTGCTATTTTTTTGTCAGTTTTTTCACAAACCAGTATCTTAGCATCTGCTAGGTATTTCTGAGGCACAGCTGATTCTGCAAGAAGGCTGGCTATTTCTTAGTTGTATTGTAGCACTTACAGCAATAGTAATAGTTTTGTTCTCTCTTTTCTCTCAAAGTGGGTGGCTGGTTGATTTCCAACCCAGATCCAATGTGTGCCTCGGGAAGCTCTAATTACCAGTACAGCGGAGCTCTGCCTCTGCCTGCTCCGCAGGCTCCCCACAGCTGTGAGAGATACTCAGCCCTGCGAGGCCATCGGGCTGCTCCATACCCACCCTCCTACATGCAGAGGAATCACTCCCCTACAGGTATTCCTGGAGCACTGCTCTGCTGCCTCTGCCTGCCTGCCCCTTTCCTTAGGTTAGCACAAGCACTGGAGCAAGGCTGAGCTCAGGCTAGGAAAGGACATGGTGAGTCTCTGGGACAACCTGCACAGAGCCCTTCAGCACCTGGGGTGACTGAGGCAGCAAAACAAGAGGGACCAGGAACTGGGTGCTCTCTTAGTGGTAAACCAGAGTGTATGGTCTTGCTTTCACTACAGCTTCCAGTTATACAAAAAGAGCATTGCAGGTCTTCTTTCAATGTCCTGCCATGGCAGAGTTGAGTTCTCAAGTCAAAGCAGCTCTCAGGTGGGAGCTGATGTGAGGCGAAGGCATTTTGGTATTGTCAGAACATCCTTTGAGTCCCTTTCGCTTTCTAGATCTGAGTGCAAATCCAGAAATTGATTATACTTTGATCAGAAGAAGTGTGTCGGAAAGCAGAGTAGGGATAAAGTAATCTACTTGCTAATTATAATTTAGCAAGAATTCCTTTAATGGAAGTATTTATCATGGAAGGGTTTGGCTTGAAAGGGATCCTAAATATCATTCTGTTCCAATCTCCCTGCCATGGGTAGGGACACTGTCACATGTCCCAGTTAGATGGTGACAGGGGTGTGACAGACCCCCACTTTGAGCTGCGCTGAATCCCAGCTACCAGTGGGGGTGCAGTGCGGAAACAAAGAGCAGCACGGTCCTGGGGCAGAACTGGGGTAACTTTATTCAATGGCAAAACTCCCCCTCCCCAGCATCCCAGGACCCCAAACTGAGGGCAGACAACAACTTATAAATGGGGGGGAGGTCTCAGGGGAGAATACGATCTTTAACTAATCAGGAGAACTGGGGGTGGAACACAAGGTGGGGAAAACAATGTGTAAACCAATAAAGAATTTCAAGGGAGGAGAACAGCTTCAGTGAACTAATGGGGTTTGGAAAAATACAAAACTGACAGGGAAATTTCGAGGGGGAAGGCAGGTTCGGGGAGGGATTAACATTTAATGAAAGGAGGAATAAGGAAGGTTCTGGGGAAAGGGCAGGGACAGGAGGGGTTAGCAACTGGGAAGGGGAAGGGGTTTAAAACTTGGCAGGGAGCAGCTAAGTAACAAACAGAAAAACCAACACTTAACTAAACTAAATGACAATGAGGGAGAAAGTCTAATTTTAGAAACATAAAATACAAAATTGGAAACCTGTGCCACTCTAAAGGCAGAAAAAGGACAGCGTAAGGAAATTAAAAATATTATAACTCAAACAGTCATTATACTAATAAAACAAAAAAAAAAACACATTACCACAGGGCACCTTCCACTAGATCAGGTTGCCCAAAGCTCCATTCAACCTGGCCTTGAAAATTTGCAGGAATGGGGCAGTATTTATAAAACTTTATTAAGTATTTCAGCTCAAATTATAAGGAAATCTGTATCAAAACATTGCCTGATATATGTCAATTATGAAAAACTATTAGTCAGACTTGCAGAAATGCAAATCCTATGTCTGTCATGTTGTAACTTCTCATGTATCACACCTGGGATTGGAATGGCACCTTGCTACTCTCTTAATGACACGGGAATTTTGCCCTGTGGTTGGCACTTTTGTCCTGTTACCTCTGGTTGGGCACTTCATGATCAGATTGCTGCCTTAAACCTGTCCGTGTTTTGCTGTCTTAAGACATTGTCTGCAATGTCAGTGAGGATTTGTTTGTTGCTTTTTTTCCCTCCCCAAAGTTAACTTATTGGACAGCTCCAGCAATAATCTTCAGGTATTCTCAGGACACGACAGCTGGACTTTGCCATCTTCTCCACACACTAATTTGCTCTCAGTGCCACACACAAAGGGAGGTGCCAGCCCTGGACCCAGGTAAGGTTACAGGAAAACTGCTAGTATGAGGAGCACTGAGGCTGGTAGGACTGTCCTGGTGATTTGCCCTTTGTTCCAAACTTTAATCAGTGTCTGGGATTTGAAATGTGTCCTAAGTGCCCAATTCAAGATTCCTGGGCAAATCTTTCTGACAAGCTAATCATCTTCTGCTCTATGCGAGCTTCATTTTAACCCAGCACTGCTGAAAACCAGGATCTTGAAACACCTACAAAGAATTCTGGTCTCTACAATCTGTGAGCATTTTAAAACCAAATTATTTTTCTTCCTATATTACTCACTATTATCCTGCATGAAATGAGGATCCTATTCTAGGGGTAAATGGAATTTATACGTGGACAATCAATTAATTATCAAATATTTTCCCTTATTTTCCCCAAAGGAATGCAATAATTTCTTCTCTAACTTAGGTGTCAAGAAAATCAGCTACAATTTCAAATGCACTGTTGTCTGATTGAGTAAGTTTTCTTCTCAATGTTTATACCCTAGTAGCTAGGCAGTATCCTGAGACTTTGTGACCTCCCTCTCTAGAAGCTCTTCTGACTCAGATCCTAAGATGGGAAGAAGAGAAGTCACAGAGGCACATAAAAAGATCCTTACATTTTGAAATCTTACATATACTTGTACATTTCTCTCCATGCCTCCCTCCAGGGTCACCAGGTGATGGCTACTGGTGATTTTTCACTTAAAATCTTTGATGCTTATCTCGTTTGGTAACCTGATTTGAATAGCTACCTTTTAACAGATAGTGAAATTGACTTTACTGTGGCAAATCTTATGCAGGCTAAATGCTTTGAAATAAGTCATTTGATCTGTGCTGCTTCTTTTTCCAGCCACTACCCTTGCCTGTGGACAGTGAGCAACAGCGCTGTAAATGTTGCCAACCCAGGAAGTGAGGTGAACAGCAACCCTCCAAGTGTGTTTTTAAGGGGTAATGTCCCCTTACCTGCTGCATCATCAGTGGAAATCCCTCTGCAGGGAATGGTGTCTGGCAGCATGGAAGCACAAGGGGAAGGCACTCTCACCAGACTGACTGACTCTGCGTGGACATCCTCACACTCCTTTTAATGGACAGGCAGCTCCTGAGGGAAGCTCAGCCAAGCAAGACTGACACAAATGGCACATGATCTCCAAGGAGTGCAGTGCAGAGATGTATGCAGGAAAAAGACTTCATCACTTCCCATCATGTACCTTTTGTGTGCCAGCTAAGCCAAAATGCAAAGGCAGGAAATATTATAGGAACCAGCTTGTTACTGCAACTTTTATGCTTCATTCAGGATAATGTCCAGAAATAATCTTTTTAGTTAGCTTTGCTTCTATATCACATTAAAAATGGTCAGAGACATGGGACTGAGTGAAGCAGACATGGCAGCTGGATACCCGCATGTCATTGTAGAAGTTCCTTCTGTAACTAACAGCCAAGTCCAGGGAAAATTGTGACCAAGTTTGCAACTTGTCATTTGAAGGGACAGCACTGTTTTAAAGGCTTTCTGAATCTCTTACATAGAGGCTTTCACAACACCCGAAACTAAACCCCTCAGGGGATGAACATCTGACATCCTAATCCCACCTGCATACAGCATTCTCTGTCCCCTTCCCTTCTTCAGCTGCTGTTTGCTGTGTGTGTGCCGTGGGGACAGTGGGCAGACTCAAAGTGCTCAAGTGGTCGCGTTGTAGCAGGAGGGTGAAGAGCAGCTAGTTTCGCATTCTAGAGTCTGATGTTACAGTCTTGGAAATGGAAAGCTCCAGTGTTTCCAATATGTGCTATTTTTGAAAGGGTGGAGGGAAAATAATTATAGAAAAAATGTTCAGCTTGCATTTCCACTTTGCTTTAGCTATATTGTACAAATAAACTACGAATACATGGTGTATTATCTCCTCAGTGCCTTTCCAAGGTGTAAACACACACAACAGTCTTTCTCACCTAACAACCTCTGAGCTATTTAAAGCAGCTCTGCGAGAAGCAAGTTGACAGAACAGGAATTTTTTATTCCTTGTCCAGTTACTGGGTGTAAGCTCCTGGGCATGGTATTTCATGTCTTCATATCTGTTTCCCTTCTCACTTTGTCTGCTTCAGCTTCCTTTTTCTGGCTACTGCTTTTCCGATCCTGCATGAGTGTACAACATTTAGCACAGTCCTGATCCTGTCTGGGATTTCTAGCCACTCCTGTGATGCAAATAACAACAGTCATCCCCCAGTCTTCCTTGTCCTTTCATGTATGCCCTGAGGCAAGCCCTATCAAATTCTCAGAGAAGAATTTTGCTGTTTGGTCTCTATAAAGAAAAACTAAAGAAATCTGCAAGCTAACTAATGTAGATATGTCCCTGTATAATGCAATGCCCAGCAGCAATTCTGGTCTCTTTAGAGTCATGTACATTGGTAGGGGACCATCTCCAGCATAGAAGAGGATTCTCTAAAGCTCCTGTGAGCTGATGTCTCTGCTTCTGCTAGATACAGCAACATTCCCTTTGTTGACACTCATTTACTGCATACAGATTCTGGGAGCAACATTCTATTTTGGGTAGACATTAGAGGCAGCAGCAAGAGGAGCCTTTTGATACACATCTGCCTGGTGAACTCAGCAAGCTTCCGTTTGATATTCTATTACCTGGCCCAGAACCACCCCCTTAAGTTGCTCTCAGTGTTATGCATTTTCATCTGGCTTTTCAGATCTGCTGCAGGCAAGATCATGTGCCAGAATTACTCAATAACAGTTAGTTTTGTTGACTTGTGCTGCAATCCCCCAAGATCAAAGTAATACAGTTGCTTTGGGTGTGCATTTTTATTAATAGCAGCATTGGTCCAACAAGAGTTAATAGAGTGCAAACAGCTCTGCATCCTGCTCTCAGTCTAATCGTTGTCAGTTCTGACTGCAAATCTGCCTTCCCACGTTCTGACAAAAGCTTGGTGATGAGTTTGTCAATGTTATGTTTCTCTACCTTGCGGCAAGAAATATAAGTAGGTGTTTCTCTCAAAAATAACTCTGCTTTACAGATGAGGTTTATTAACAAACTTATGCTACCCTCTTCTGGCTGTTCAGCTCTCCACAGACATACCATACACAGAGTCTACATTAAGATGCTAAAAAGCAGGCAAGTGGTGACTTCTCTGTGTTCCAGGACTTGCAGTGCTTTTTTCATGGTTAATGAATTGGATAATTTCTTATCCCATATTACTGCATTACAGTAATATGCAAGTAATTATAAGGTGTTACTCAAACTGCATTATTTCACAAACCAACAATGTAGGGGAACATCTAATTAGTTTTCCTGAGAGTCCCATAGGATTGGAAGAATTTAAAAATTATCAAAATGAACAGTCAAAGTAATTTTTCTTCCTTTTCACTGTAAAAGCAGCCATGACTCATGTCACAGGAGGCAAAAAGTTCTGAGATCTCAAAACTGAGCTAAGTCTTTGTCATTGCAGAAAATCTGATTTAGCGTGACCCTGAGAAATGACACAGAAAGACAAAAATACCCTTGGTTTGCTCACTACCCTTGCTCCCATCTCAGTATAAGCTGGCATTTGTAACCCAAAGCTGTGGGCTTCAGGATAGCAGGGAGTATACTGATCTCAGATTTCGTGTTGGGGAGTCCTGCAAGGAACAGGGAGTAGGACCCAATCCCTATGGGTTCCTTCCAACTTGAGATCTGTGATTCTTGATTCTGATCCATAATTTTGCAACTCTGGTAAATGATTTGGGAACTGCTGTCTGGTTTGGACAGATTACTTCTAAGCAGCAGACGCACTGGAGAAAGATTTTGCTACCTGTTGACAAGAAAAACTGCTGTTCTATCTTCACAGCTCTCCTTTCTCAGCACAATGGACTTCCCCACAGCAAAGTAACAGGCTGGGATGCTGGCTGCAGTGTTCTCCTGTGGGTGGCAGATTCCCTTAAACTGTGTATAAAACTGTTCCTCTCCTAATAAACCATTGCTATGGATTTGGTTTTGCTTAGTACATCATTACTATGGATTTGGTTTTGCTTCAGAACACTTGTTTCTCAGCAGATTTCTGCTTGGCATTAGAACCCATACAAGTGAGTATTTCCCTGATTGTTGTAAGCCGTAACCAAAATGGCAGCATGAAAAGAGAGCAAAGAGCCCTCTCTGCAGTTTTTATATATGTTTTGATAAAATCACTTCCTGACTTTGTGGAAAAGAAATATACTACAAGACTGGAATAGCTCTTTAGAGGTCTCCAGGGTAGATATGCTACCTGGTATTAATGACAGTTTGTAATTTTTAACCTAATTTGATCATGAAGCTTACACGGTAGGTTTTTGTCCTGGCAGAAGCAATGCTGGGTACATGGCTGGTACCCCTCAGGCCTCTCCCCAGGGCAGACAAGGGGCCAGGGCTTGGGAACACAGCTCCAAGCAAATCTCCATATTATTAGAGGAAGGAATCCTTTATTTTCAGTATTTGCAGGACTTTAGCACTGTACTCACCTACTAAATGTGAGGTTGCAGGGTGGATTTTGTGACACCTCATTTAAGCATATTAAAAAAGTGGAGCGTAGGTATGCAGTTTGTGGTGGTTGGGAGCAGGGCTGTGGCTGAGCCTCATCCCTAATGGGTGCAGCTGTGAAAAGCAGGTGAGTAGCATTGAAAGCAATGAGCCATGGAGTGCCCAGGTGCACTGACCCATTACCAAAGGGAACAGAGGTCACACAGGTGCAATGCATGCAAGATGAAGGGTACAAAAGGTTGAGCTAAAGAACAAGAAGGGCAGACACTTGAAGCCTTCTGATAGAGTATGGTGTTGCTCTGTATGGGGATGCTTAAAGCTTTCTGGTATTGTAGGGTGATACTCTGTGGGTTGTGGCCATCTTGATTGAAATATGTGCTGTGGTAGCAGAGGGAAGTAGTTAATGAGAGCAGAAGAGCTATAAAGTAAAAACCCCGAGATGTCAGGACAGCCTGGTTCCCTCTGATGCCGCAGTTCCTGCCCTGCAGTCTGCAGCTGCCACTGGGCCTTGATGTCCCTGTCCTGGGAGCCTGTCCCTAAGTCCTTCCTGGTGGCTCCAGTGGCCCCTGGACTGGGGCTTCTCCTTAGCCTTCCTGCTGGCCTGAGACATCTGCCTTTTGTCTCAGGCTTTTCCCTTGCGGTTTATTTTCCTGGCTCTGGGACATGGGACGTGTCCCAGTAAGGCAAGGAAGCGCCTCTGGCTAAGCCCAAGGAAGTGTGGAGCAGATTTTTTCTCAGACCTCCCAGCTCCCCAGACATGTCCCTTTGTGAGCCCGAATGGAAGGCTGGTGCCTGCAGCTTTCTGGGTGCTGAAATAAATGGGCAGGAGATCTTTCTCCTTTTTAATGCCTTTAATAAAGAGATTCAGCTCAGGTGGGGAGAAATCGACGGGTCGCGCCCACGCCGCCGCTGCTCCCAGGAGTGGCACGGAGGAGGAGGGTGATGCAGCTCTGTCCGCTGGTCTGCAGGCAGAGCTGGGGACTGCATCCTGACAGGAGATTCGCAGATTCCTCCTTTTCGGTCCAACACTTCAGGTCCCCTCCCCAGTGAACGTCCTTTTAGGTTAGGGTGAGAAGCAAAAAGGATTAAGACAGGAACTGGACTTCGCGCCCATCCTTAGACATAACCTAGGTCCCCTAATTCTATATTGGCTCATCATTTTTAGGGGTTTTCCTGGAAAACGGGAAGATTTGGAGCAGTGTATTTCTCATCTGCATACGAGGTCTCAGGCCACTCCCATTCTCCTAGTGCTGCCATGTTCAGGTGTTGCTCCCGGGCAAGCACCAGGAGGACAATGGCTAAATCACCAAACATTGACGGGCAATTGAAGAAGAACTCTTAACAATGAAGCTAACTTAACAGCAACAGGTTTTAGCTCTGTAACCTTAAACAAAAATAGATAACTTTTTATTCATAACAGGGCTGTGGGGGATGTGCTCAGCAGCCCGTGTGCCCTCATCCCAAAAAGTCCCTTCTCTCTCCTGTGCTTCACTGTGTCTCTTTGGGAGATGTGCTGCTCTGGCAGCACCTCACTCAGGCCAAGAGAAAGGCTTAATGTGGCATCAGGTGTTCTCTTCCATGACTGTTGAGTCTAAAGGGAATGTCCCTATGCTCTCTGATAGGCAGAAAACTGGAGAGCGATAAACACCCCCTGCCTGAATTCTCCAGTGTGAGCCCAGAGTGAGCTCTTTCCTGTGAGCCAGTCCTGGGCCCCCATCAAGACAGACACCCATGGTCCCGACAGTTTAAGTTTTGCTGCTATTTGTCCACACTGGGTGCTTGGTTCAGCATTCAGGTGTAGCTTTGTTGTGAAGCTGGTTCTGGGTTCTCATCCTTGGGCAGATCCTCTGCACAGCCCATTTGGGTTCTGTGTTTCTGTTTGTTCTTAAATTAAGCTTGGTAACAACTGCTAATATTTAATCATTTTTATATTTCAGCCATGTATACCGGTTATACAAGTTAAAAATAAGCCTTCTAAATTTAACTCACTGGTACAAATACACTGTTTCTACCTAATGGTTGTAGCTGTTGTCTGTCACAGTCTAGTAGGTCTACAGCAACAATAAATAATAGTCCTTACTACAGAGATGCTAATGCTTGCTGTGTGGTTTGGGAGTCTCTCATTTTGAGAAGTTGTTGAAACATAAATTATGAGTGATTTTTTTGGATAGCTCATTTTTTAAATGAAGAATTAATGGAACTAGGGGTGGATGTGACTTTTATGGACTGAACATCTATAGTTTTCATAGACTTTTTGTAGGAATTTGTATAAGTTACTAAGCCTCATAGGTCAGGTATCTGAGCACCTTTTTATTGTCTCAGTGGCAGTGTTGCATCAAACATCTCAGTTTCTTATCTGAAAACT